TCGGATCTACGAGACACCCGCCGGAGGTTCCACGCCAGATCGCAGGCGCTCTCCCGGCTCACTTCGACTCTGCCAACAGCTGGGAGCCGCGGCGTGACTGAATCTTATTAGTAAAGCGGAATCACGAACCTTCGTTTTTGAAAACCCAAAGAAAGGCATTGCCGTCTTCCTCCTCGAAGGCGTCAGACAAATCAGCTTCCTTGATATGAAATCGTCTGTCTTTAGTAGTCCGGATTATTCCGACCTATCACCTAGTTCTCAGCAGTTCCCTCCCGAGAACGCCTTGCTAGGAATATCATTCAGAGGAGATTCGGGACTTTTCGAGATTCCGTTCTCCCCATGAGACGATTTCGGAATCCCTACGAAATAAATCCCATGGATCGGATGGGATCCTTCCCTTGAAGTCACAGCACATACGACTGAAATCTCCCGCAGCTCGGTCCGCGTCGATTGTTTGAGACGCGGGTAAAGACGACCGACATGCATTATGCGGACTAGGTTGAACAAAGACAAGGTGGAGCAGTTGAATTCATCCACTAATTCTTATCGCCCTGCTATCGCGGTAATTGCTGTTACGGAAACCACCAGTGGAACGGAACCGATCCATTTGTACGCGCCATTAGCCATGCTGCACTGCACTTGCCGTAGCAGACGCCAGCTCCAGAGAAGAAGGAAGGTGACATTCAACGGTGGCTAGTCGGTAACCTTCAGGAGGAGTCGACAAGAATATTCAAGGGAACGCATCCCCTGGAGCTACACGCATCGACGACGCAGAGGAGCTGCGCCGTTGAAGAATCGTTTTTCCTCGCTCAGTGTCCACTCTATCCTGAGCGCTCATAGAAACCACGAGGAACTCGACGGGAGCAGAGCGTCTTTCTGTGCGAATCTGGCCCGTTTCGGCCTAGAATATCGTAAGCGCATCAGTCTAATTCAGATCACGCGAGAATCGTCGTTCGGAGCAGCAGGAGGTGAGGAACTACTCACGGGATAGATCTGAGGGGATTACCTCAAACAGAAGAATGACGAATCGGATGAATGTGGACATTGTGGAGGGAACCGAGGTGAAGCTGGCTAGACCAACAGGGACAAGAGCCTGGAAAGCGATTACGGTCTATCGTTCCTCCAGACTCGGAAAATACGGTTGACTCTATTAGGCTCGGGACAGAGCTACTTGTGAGGTCTACGGCCAAGTGGTCCTGAGCCAGGCTTATCCCCCGCAGTCGTGTCGCTGTCGTTCGGATTTCGTTGGAAAAACAGCACAAGGCGGACTTTTGAGCGGGCCTCCGCCACGCTGCGCCGTCCCTCTTTCCACAACGGCTCAGCTCATTTCGGCATTGGGACGGCTCGGATTGTCCACAAAACTGAGAGCCGAACTAAACCACGACGGATTCCTCGTCTAGTAGGCTCAGCCTCGTGCTTTGTGAAGAGCTGCCGAACAGATTCCCTCTCGGGAGACCTGCCCTTTGACGAAAATCGTTAATTACCCGCGGATGATCAGTCACAGGAGAGAGTACTCTGTTCGACTCCCACGCATGAAAGTACGATACGATGTTTCTCAAAGAAGCGTCGACATTGCCAGCATCAGTGTTTCTGGCCGGGTCTCTTTCATCTTGCATGGGAGAAAGGCGGAGAGACTGAATGCCAGAGCCGAGATAAGCCCCGCACTCGGGAGAAACGTAATGAAAATAATCTCTTCCATTCTCCGAGCCGCAGATATGCCACGCAACGGCGAACAGGGGGGGATATCCCAGTTGTGGCGAAAACACGCCTCAGGTGAGCAGAACCAGCTCGTTTTTTACCAAGCCCGATACTCACTGGACGTCTGACCGTAGCTCACGCGATGAGAATTAGAAACTTGATGGAGCTGCTTCCGAGGGGGATTCTGCTGAAACAATCCCAAGAGTCAGGACGACTTGTATATTCCGGGCTTCGACCACCAGTATTCTCCGCGCTGCCTTGCTGAAACTCTCGGGAGAGTTGACCGAGCGAATCGTACGCGGCAAAGATTGCAAGATCATGGGCAGGCAGAAGGCGAGTGCATGTCCACCGAGCTCAGTTCGAACTGTCGGAGTAGGAAAGCAGCGGGACGTCGGAGAAGGCGTGCGGGGACTCTGGCCCTGAGAGGCGGCCGTATGTCAACCAGAACCTTGTCGGAGTAGCTCAAAGAGTGGCTCCCAGTTGAGGAATGTCTTTCGTGGTCGCCAGGACTATGTATGTTTTCGAACACTCCGAGAAACGCGGGAACGAGGCGGAAACGGAGAAACCTCTCATTAAGACCCTTTGCTGACGGAACATCACTCGCGACGCCGCTTTGCTCACAGTCGAAAGTACGCACGAGGGCATCCCATAGAAGTCCTCTCGGGAGACCGATGAAAGCACTTCATTAGGACGCTAGTCAGAATCTGCTCGAAAGATAGGAGAATTCCTATTCTCGGACGAACTCTGTTCATTGTGATGAGAAGGAACGACCATCCCGTACGGAGTAGATTGACGTCCCGAGCATCCAAAGCTCGTGGCAGCTCCGACCTCCGAATAATGAAATCGGAGAGAACAAATCTCGGCGGCACCTTGTTCGCCGAGAGCGTGATTCTGGGAGAATTATCTGATTCAGGGTCGCGACCCTTCACTTAGGAAACAGATGAATTCCCAGAAAGGCTACTCCAGATAGGTGGCGCATTGGGTGATAGCAAAGGCTCGAATGCGTTCCCGGGACCGGTTCGGTCGGTAAACATGTTTTCGTGCTCCACGCAGACGCTTCCAAACTCTCACCATAAACCGCCGGGAAACACCTGGGTAGGTACTTAGGAAGTGATTCCTCCTCCCGGTCTGAGAGGCTTCGCTCGGAAACCAATTCGAGACACTCGATGAGATCTCGGAGGCGATTGCCGTGGCTTTCACAAGTTCAGAGCTCGCGACGCAGTCTCTCGATCAGATTCCATCGGCTGCGTCTCTACGCGACGCGCACCGTTCCGTGAAATGGCACTTCGGATCAGAGATGAGAAAAGAACTCTGCTGGTAGAAACACACCGAAGACGGAATCATTATGTAGAAAGTGGACAAAATTATTTATTTATTTTCTCAATAAGATATCATTTCGATCCATTCATATTCCTGAATACACGGGGGTAAGTCTATTACGTCGTGTTTATCACCGAGCTAATTCTCCAAGGGCATAAATAATTGACTACCTTAAATCCAGCATTTTGTCCCGAGTAGAACCCGAATTCAGCGAGTATTTTTTGTAAAGTGAAGCGTGAACGATTCGTCGAATAATTTATCTAGCTCGATGGTTCGCTGAGGTAATCAATATCACATTTTCCGAGTAGTTCTCTAACATCACACAGTCCGACGGCGTCGCTGCCCCGCCACACCCATGCCTCACCTGCCGGACAAACCTGCGCTGGATATTCTCCAGACGTTCGAGATCCAGCGTTCTCAAGGCTACAGATCGAACATCCATGGATAAGGATCGGAATGATATGCGAGCGATGAACGAAATATCCCACATGATCGAGGAGCAAGGACAAAAGCGGGCGACCCATGACAGTGCCGTGGGGCATCCCGTGGTCGCAAAACCTCTCCTCGAAAGTGTGGCGCTGATCTTCACCTAAGTGAATCTCTTAGATGAGAAATCCAAGATGTCTCCATCATTTCGCACATCACCGACGTGAGAGAGACAGGTCTTTCATCCTTGGATCAGTTTCGCTGTCTTTCTTATGGTCGGGGCGCAGCCATGCCTCTTCGAAACCCGTCGGAACCCTGCCTCCCGCTAAACAGCGTTGGTGCATGACGCTTAGAGGCTGCGAGGCCCCCTCGCAGATACGTTCCCTCGAGGGTATAACAGAGTAATTCAGCTTTGGATATGTCACTTTCACCGCTGACACCGATCAGAACTGCGAGATCGTCTCAGGTTATCATTCTAGAGGACATGTAACTGAGGAAGCTGATTCCTCGGTTCCGCAATGTTCGTCCCTAGCAGGTATCTCTGTCCTGTGAAGCAAAGTCCCAGCCGTTTGCGCAGTCGTTTCATCTCGGCAACATCCGAAGTCGCACAGTCGTTCGCGCAGTATGTTGCACATGTCGTCGAGCGTCACAGAATTTTTGAACACCTGTTGCCAGTTGGTAGCTAACAACGACGCATTCATCGTTTCGAAGTCAGCGTGCTCGAAATCAAGTCCATTGCGCACAAGGTTCCCCTTGACCAGACCACCAAAGGACCCAAAAAATGCTGTCCAGATGATCCGATTCGATCGGGTTAGCCACGACAACAACATCGTTTGAGTCCAACATCCCGTCAGTACTCAGAACGAGATCAATCAGAGCACTGCTGGCCGGACGGGTTATGCCTCGAGCATACAAATCTTCTCGAAAGCCTCGTGATCGACAGTCACTCAGAATTAGGAGCAGTGATCACGGCGCGATTGCAGTTTGTCCACTCTCAGAAGTCTAATCCCCATCTATGAGACGTGCTCGAACATACCGTAAGCCGTCACGTCAATTCCCATCCCGGAGACAAACATTCTCATTCGTGGGGACATGCCGCTCCTGCTGTCCACAGAACGATGCGACCGGCGCAACAGGTCCGAAACGCTCCTCGAGCTTTCCCAGAGCCTGGACTCGAGCATGAGGAATGAGGACCCTCTGTTCCAGCATCGAGTTGACCTTGAGATCGTCGGAAGTCTCCGCACTGAATTCAGAGTCTCTCAGCTCGTGCCTGTTTTCAATCTTCTCCGCATGGGAGAAGCATGAGCCGGTCGCTGTCTGAGGCAGGTCTTCGCGGGGAAAACACTCCTCGTGGTACAAGTTACTGCACAAACCGCTGCGTAGGACAAATGTTTGACCCGTGTGCAATAGGAGCTCACACACGAAGCATTTCAAGGGCGCCTCAGCTGAACGACGGACATATCATGGCCAGGGTCTCTCCCTGTGCTATTCGAAGGACACGTGTGCCCTCTCCTGCGATTAGACTGGCCAAGCGCAGTGCAACAGAAATTATTCATCTCGCTCGTTTAGCCCGCACCGTCGTACGAACGGAGAGCAATCCGGAAAAAGAGAGCAGCATGTGGCTTGTTTTGCTCGGAGTGCTCTTGGCTTTGCTGGTCATCAAAATCTCTCAGATCAGTCAGTTTTGGAGGGACAGAGGCATCCCCTACGAGCCATACTGGCGGTACCTATACCGCATGATATGGGAGATCAATCGCCGACCCATCGGAGATGTGCAGCGTGAGCTCGTCAAGCGTTACGGTCCTATGTATGGCTCCTATCATGGGAGCAGACCGACGTTGGTGGTGACAGATGTTGAGATCGTCAAAGAGGTCTTCGTGAAGAAGTTCGAAAGTTTCTTCAGCCGATCTTTCGAGTTCACCACCGGTGAGCCGCTGTGGGACAATTCCATCCTCCAATTACCTAAAGATGAATGGAAAGCAGTTAGAACCATCATGGGCTACACTTTCACCACATCGAAACTGCGAGGCATGATCTTGAAACTCGACGTGATTTGTAAACGACTCCTGTCGAAACTCGACACGATCATCGACCAGGAAGGGACTCTGAGCAAGTACTTCAATTCGTACGCCGTCGATTCGATTGCGGCAATCGCGCTCGGGATGGACGTCAACTCCATAGACAATCCCGATTCAGAATTCGTGAAGTGTTGCACGGGCATCTTCAAACCCGGTGTAGCGTCGCTGCTTGCCCTCGTGGCTCCGCAGCTCCTCAGATACGTTCCGTTCGTGCACTTCCCGCCGAAGAAGACCGTCGACTTCTTCACCAAGTTGAGCAAGCACGTAATCGGAGAGAAAAAGAAAAATCTCGACGAGGCTCTCAAGAACGGCACGGCTGACATTCTCGATCTCCACCTGCTCGCTCAACGCGAAGACCCGCAAACGATTCTGACGGACGAGATTCTGGCTTCTCAGGCTTTCATTTTCATTGTCGGTTTGGATAACACCGTACTAACGTTGGAATTGGCCACGTACTTCCTGACAGTTTTCCCCGAGGCCCAAGCGAGGGCTATACGCGAAATCAGATCGGTGATAGGGGACAAGTCGGACGTGGACTACGAAGACCTTCAGAAACTAAAATTCGTCGACGCTTGCCTACGCGAAGCGCTGCGAATCACTCCGATGGGAGGGGTCATCGACCGGGTTTGCAATTCAGACACGGTTGTTGCAGGCCAGGAAATTCACAAAGGAATGTTGATTGAGTTCAATTTCCCGCATATGCACAACGACCCCAAGTATTTCCCCGAGCCCGAGAAATACAAGCCGGAAAGGTTCCTCAGAAACGAGGGAGACGGACCCCTGAGTGAGCTGGACGCTTTCATGATGTTCGGTCACGGACCGAAGAATTGTGTCGGCAAACGATTGGCTTTGATGAATATGCAGATTTTGCTGTCAAATCTCTTGCTGAGATTCAAACTAGAGAAAACCGATAGGACACCGAAACTTCCGCTGAAATTGAAGCCGGGTTTTCGGGGCAATGACATTACTGTCGAGCCCTTGATGCTCAAGTTGGTACCAAGAGTCAAGGTGAACGACGCGTGAGGATTATAATCCAACGATTATCCATCCTTATCCCTCGAGCCCCACGGTTCGTCGATCAACCAACGGTGGCCAGGATGTGCGGACAAAGCGTGAAATACAACCGGTCCAGAGATTTCAGAAGAGCTTACGATGAGACGCAGTGCTGATTCGGCGGAATAAATCCCTCACACCAGCCCTCCATGTGGGACCAAAGCTTCCCGATATTTTCATATCTTCGTGCTGGTGACGCTGAAGGCTATCATGTGACAGATGTCGTGGGAATCGTCGCACACTCGACGTAGATTTCGAAACTGAATGAGACGTGTTAATCGATCACCCATCCTCGGGCAAGCTCCGTTGGTCTGGGGAAGGGATCATCAGCTGAGTAATGTACCTATCGATGTCTGAGGGGAGGGCACGGATAATGATCGGGGCAAGGAGTCAATATTGACAGATCTGTGATTACGCAAAGCCAAGTGCCGTGAGCGGCCGCGCTCCGGTGACTCGTTCAAAACGAGAACTCCCGCAGCCCGATCTCCTGATAGAGATGAGAGGATTCCCCACGGACTCATTCACAGAACAAATAATTCGATTCCATGTCCGGGAGGTTCATGAGGAGTCTCTCCTACGCATCATGCGTGGCCTTCCCGATGAATGACGGTCCGCTAGAGTCGTTGAGGGAAAGATCAATATTTACATCCCAATCGTCTCGGGAGTTCGAATTGACCTCCGTTTGTCGGTGGGAAACTTCTCAAAAAACTAGGAGAATCGTCCTCAGGTGTTACGGACAACTCACAATTCTTGTTCAAAGCTCCACAGAAGAGCGGAAGGAAACTGGAAAAACAGAGGATGGGTGCTTCACAACGTAATTGACGGTCCAACGCTTGACGCACTCCTCCACTACGGCGTTCCAAGGTCATACTTTGCGCCGTCGATGCTGGCTCTTCTTGTTTGGCGCCGGTCTGCTCTGCTGTCACAATTGACAGCCGCTCCAAGAAAGGATTTTCTCCTTTCATTTCGTCAGAAATCATCTCCGAAAACGGAGAACTCGAAAACACAGAACTCCAAGAGCCTTGCGAGATCGGATGATATATAAATTGGAGGGGAAATTCCGCGGAGCCAGAGATCGGACACTGACGACTACCAAAGTGTCCGGGGATAGAGCAGCATGCTGCAGTCGTATGTCAGGGGGTGTTGCACAATCTCTTCTGCCGTGGATAGAATGAGAGCGACCCACGAGTTTAGCGACGATCGTTGTGGATCTCTGTCACTCTCCAGCAAATCGGAATCTCACTTCACCTAAGGTACTTCTCCGACGCCTCACTTCTCGACCTATGCGAGCGAATCGGTACCTGATCATCTCTGCTGTCTATTCGTGCTGATGCTTTTACATACTTAGGTTCGATGGGATTTTTCTCGACTGAACTCATATACCGCCGTCCGAGTCTAAGCTCGACGGACTCCGATACCCTAGGAGGAATCAAAGACATGTTCATCTATGTGTGCCCTGCGGAGCATTGCTATACCATTTAATAAATTTTCGAAACGTGTCAACAAACTCGGACTTCGAAACCTTTCGCGTCTCGATAAACCAAATGGTGGGCTTGTTTTCGAAGGTTCCCGATTTCTTCGCCCAATAATGAATGAACGATAGGAGATAATTGCTCAGACTCCAAGGTCGCTGAAGATTCTCAATCACGATTACTCTACCTCAGCACGGAGTTTCGGAGAATCTTCCGAGGCTTGAAATGGAAAACGGTATTCCAGAGGCGTCAAAGGTGAAAGCACCATAGGGTGATGAACAGGATGTATACATATATGACTTGGATGAATAATCTCCCGGGTTGCCAATGTGCGGGTCTCGGCCGGAAATCGGGGCTCTCTTGGAAATAGAAGCCTGCTTGATCGGAGTCCCGAAATATCATCCCAGCTTTTCCGTCTGTCGAAATGTCCCGCGTCTTAGCGAGAGTTGATCCCCGCGAAAGGCTAAACATCTCGGGTGCATAATGAGGCCGTCCCGGCCGATATCAATTGTATCGGAGCGTTTTCCTCGAGCGAATGAAGCCTTCCCATTGCCTAAATTGAAAACACACTCGCTGCGGCTCCTTCGATTCCTCACTCCTTCTCTTGTTCCGCCTCAGTTTCTCTTTCACTCGTGGGCTCTTTCGTTACCGCAGAACTGTCTTGTTTTCTGGAATCGACAGTGAGAGGAAGAGGCCAGGACAAATCCTCGGAACCCCCTTGGAAACTCCAGATGAGATGTCAGGCTCAGATCTCCAGCATCGAATGGACAATGGACGGTAAGCGATTTCTACTGCATATAATGAAGGCTGCCCGCTTCTCTATTGATTGAATGTATAATCTTCGATTGTCACGGTGCAGTACGAGATTGAAGCTATTCAGCACCATTTTCGTTGGGAAGAATTCTGCAAAATTTGGCACTAGATCTGCCAATGAACCGCCATCATACGGAGCTGCCGGCCCGCCAGTCAAGCAAGTGGAGATGCAAGCCGCACATCGCGCTGAAAGTTCGAGCGAAGAATCCCCTCCATGAGGGAAGTCCTACCCTCGGAGGTTATCTGCGCATGGCCCTTTCAAGGGTATTGAAAAAAATGTCGGAAATTAGGCTTTAGCATCGACCCAACGAGGAAGATGGAAAATCTCATGCATCACAGACGGACATGCGATTCACTCGGCATATATCCCTCAGAGACCGATGGTTCTGGAAACGCCGAGATGAATTCGGCACCGAGACGCGATCTTCCCGGGTGCTCTCGACTCCCACCGTGTCGTCACTCGCCAACTGATTTAGGAGAGAACGAGAATGGATTCCGAACAAGTTTAGCTTCATTCCAGGCTCCGTCGCAAATTCTACTCTCTTCATAGGATCAATGCTCGAGGTCTAGTCATCCTCAGATTTTTCATTGCCCTCAAAGTGGGCACACGAAGATATCCTCTGAGGGTTCAATTTCTCTCGTGGAGGGGACTCTATGACCGAAGTCTCAGCCCGGTCGGCGTCGGACATGCCCAGCACTCCCCGTAGGTCGTGATTAATATTCGTGATCCTTCGTGAATCATATTCATCAGGTCTCGCCAACTTCATCTATTTGAGCCGCTTCATCTTCATACCCATCCGTGTGACCAAGGAGACAAACCGGAGAGGGAATGACGCCGAGTAGCCTGCCGTGCTTTGCAATTTCGATCATAAATCCTGGATTCCTCTCTTGAATGCGCTTGTGTAATAATCCAATTTTCTGCGCTCTGCTACGTCCCCGAATCGGCTCGGTGCCTGCCATGCAACGCTTCCCTCAATCGGTTACCAAACGTCAAAGGAGAAAAAAGAAGACCGCCCCGAGGGTATTAAACGTAGACGTTGTTCGCCGTTGGCGTTTCTATTGGGACTCTGAGTGGTCTCTCGAGAGCCATCCTATTATGCGGATATCCTAGATGTGAATGAACGAGAATCCTGAATTCCATATGAGCTGAACAGATCATCCGTCGTAACTTTTTCCGGGTTGAAGTCGTCGTCGGAGAGATTCGCCCGAAAATAGAAAGCCTGGTTGTGGGCTGCGACCAGGGAGTTTAGTGTCTTTTTCGCCATTCTCTGAGTTCCGACCGTATGACGAACGCAGCCCGAGCTCTGTGGGAGAGTTTCACAATTTCTCTCCGTTTCCTCCTTCTAAGTGCGTAGGGCGGCGGAAGAGAGCCGAACGGCAGCCATTTTCGGGGACAGAGATCGTCCCGGAACCATCAGTCGCAGTAAGTTTTGAAATTCTCTGTGGTCGCTGAATTCTCCTGGAGGAAAGGCAGGGGTCGTGCGACCCCTTCCAAACACAATTAGACTCGCGGAATGCATACGCTTGAAAGTCGCGAGACAAAACGAGGAGCTCGGGGATATCGCACACAAAGCTAGATATCGACTTATCAGTCAGATGGTTGAGGGATATTTCGGTGCGTCCAATCTCGCCTGATTGTTGAGCTGTCCTCATCTATATGCTAAGGGGATCAAGTACATTTCTGGACCCATTCGGACGAGCACCTTTTATCGCGCGCTTGCCATGATAGATTCTCTTTGTCATTCAAATCTTTGCGGACTTGGATTTCTGCTTGTCTGCTGCTCGACTGCGAATAGTAGGTACTACGGCGGCGGCGACGAAGACCGTGTCCGTGATAAGACGTTAATAATGGGCGCAAGGAAAGCGAGAAAGACCTGATCACTAATCTTCATCTGATCGAAAAGTCGTTAGTCTCACATCCTCCGGACGGATTCCAGAGTTCTGCTCGGTGATCCGGGCAACTGAAGGAGACGAGAGAGACGAAGTATCCATCATTTTTCAGGGGCCGATCGATAGAGCCCGAGTTTCGCAGAATCATCAAGCTTCATAATTAGCTCAAGCTCGCCTACGGACCTGGGGTAGATACATAGAGAATCTTGAAGTGAACTTGAGCCCGGCTAGCTCGAGTCCAAAGCCCGGATGAATCACGGTCCGGATCCCTGTGGCTCTAATCGATTACGTATATGAAATTTTGCTCCCTTTTGTTAGGCCCATCAACGTCAGACCGCCTTCCGGCCTCTCCGTCGTCGGAGAAGAGCCCCGAACTTAAAATCTCGATCTCCAGCGGAAGATTTTCCAGCGAGAATCTCAGTCGGGCAATCTGTAGTCCAACATCGAAGCTGCTAGCTCCCGCTGCTGTTGTTGTCTTTTTCCCGGCCCTGAATACGACTCCAATCTAACGGACACCTGGCGAAAGATCATTTCCGCTTGGTGATATAGCTTCCGCAGAGCAGCGCTCCTGTACAGTATTAGCGCTGCTTCGGTTAAACCGGAGCTAGCGATTTTCTGGATGACCGGAGTCCACGGCTGAGTGGCTTGATGGCAGTTTTGAGCGCCTTGTTCAAGCCTCGGGACCGGCGTCTCGACGAGCGGCATGATTGCAAGGGGCGAGAAGCTTGATGATTTTTAGAAACATGCGGGACCGAGTCACGAAGGCGCGGCATTGGGCGGGACAGTGATTTTGCTAAGCGGGACCTGCTAATACTAGTTCTGAATCGGTAGCCAACGGGCCGGAGCTCCTTTTTTGAGCGAGCAGCTTCCCATGGGTCTCCAGACCCCGAAATGCACAGCGCCGTGTCGGGACGTCGTAATCGGGCGGCCTCT